AAACAAGATAAAGACAGACTGTCAGTGTTTGAACACCGCTGTCTACGTAGCATTGCACGTGTCTGGTGGGGTAGCCGAGCAATGCTGAGGTGAAGCGCAGAGTTTTGGGTATCCGCGGTCGCCCACTGGAGCAAGTGGTCGACATGTATAGATTACGTTGGCTGGGACATGTGTTACGCGTGTACCAGGTAGGTTACCACAGCGAGCGATGTTCGCCGAAGGAGATACCGAATGGAAAAAAGCCTAGGGTGGTCAAGCTTGGACGTTGCACGAGAGTATGAGAACCCCAACCAGGAGACTGGGTCACATAGGTCCTGTTAGGCTCCCTGGCTGGGGACTTCGGGATGATCGTAACCGATGGTTAGAGACACTGAGCGATGTGGCTGGGTGTCGCAAATAGTGGCGTTCGTGCATGTTTTCAATTTCATTGCAACCTTAGACCACTGAACTTCTCCATTTTCTTTTCGACTCCAGCCTTTCTTCTCCTATTCTTCATCCAAATGGGCAGCCAAAAGACAGCAACCAAAACCGGCGTGGTTAATGGTTGTACAAACTGAAACTCAATGAAAAGCCACCCGGCTGATCGACGAACCATTTTAAACTTCCAACCTGTAGTCGGATTATTATCGTTACTATTTTGGTTTCTGGTCCTCTGAACTCGCTCCAGTGGTTCCCCTGACATTGACCTTTTCTTGTTCATCACGTTCTCGGGTGGGTATTCACCTTTATCAGGTTTCTGTCCTGCGATGTCTAATCTTATTCTCCTTAAAAGCAATCTTATTCTTTTTTAAACTGTAGGCTTTTTAAAAGGATCACTCTAATGTCTCCCCACACACACACCTTCCCGTTAACAGCATGTCAGTGATTAATGGCTTTAACTTTTTTGCTGTAAATCACTTGGTGTGTAATAAAAAGGGAGCCTGGAAATCAAGTCAGAAATGTTTTTTCACAGGTGATTAATCCAGGGATCATATGTAACCAATGCAATTCGTGGGTTGGATGTGAATTCTGAAAAGACGAACTTACCGACTTTCGTGATCCTTCAGGCACAAAAGGTCTGACGAAGCGTGTAAGGGTGATGTTAAAGCGAAAAGATGGAGAGCGTAATTAAACAAAGGGCGAAAAAGTAAAATTTCTGCGAATAATAAGTGAAAATGAGGTAGCATATAACCCTAATGGTAAAATTGAGCAGTGATGGTTTTCGCTACACATTATTGCTTTGCGTTCGACACACTAAGCCCGGGAATCTGAATGACCCCTGGTGAAGATAGCATTATGCGCATACGGCAGCAAGGTGGTAGAGCGTGATCTCGTAGGACCGTTGGGTTTGTTTGGAACTGCTTACGGTTACTTTCATTTCTCAATAAATAATCAAGTGCACTTGAGCATAAAACATTGCTCAGAAGTGATATCTGCAGTTGAGTCGGTATTTCTAGGACCCCAAAGAGCCCGAAATAGCAAGCTTAGTATTCTCTAGGGTAGAAATCACATCAGACCATTTTGTATCCCTGTTTCAATATTAACACACATAAGTGCACGCAATTACACGTTCCAACAAACAGAACAACGTTATCGTGCGAGGTGTGATGCTCATTCGTTCGTCCTCTTCGAGTAAGATGACTCCGCACCAGACGCCAAAAGCCCGGTAGTTAGTGTGTGGACTGTGGAACTGTCAGGAGCAACTGTACCACCGTGATCCATTGAAGCATGAAGTGAGCCTTTGAAAGGGAGTGAGTAGGCCTCGATGCATTAAGCTGTAACATCGGGCTTAAACCGGAACGGATACATTGGAACTAGTTGCAGACATCTGTCTCATTAGAGAGAATATAACCCTAAATTCAACGCGTGAAAACACCGCGAGACAGGGGAACTAAATGAGTGGGCCGGGGTAGGCTAACGTGAAATGATGACTTTAGAATCAAGTGACAGGCATGAGCAGTTGTGACGAGCATTAGCGATAACACTACAACAGGTTTGCCCGTGGTTTAATAGCCAATGGATTTGCTTTGGCGTCTACCGCCCTGTAGAGAATGAACACGCCTTCGCGGCACTCCAAAAGTTTACTGACACGGCAAGTTTGACACAGTTACGAGACATTGCAGTTTAGTTTGGGCCATGTGAACAACTGCAGGCTGAACGCATAATCATTGCCCTAAGCACCACGCCGAATTTCTATCGTTGTGTCAGTTGGGGAAAATGATACTTGATAGATTAAGTGAACAGAAAATTGCAATGGAAGTGTAAGTAAATTAGTGACGATTGCACAGCAACTGTCGACTGCGCATGGACACGAGATAATTTAAAAGCTACTCTTATCATCCTTGAATCCATATCGAGACCTGTAGAGAGGTCGGAAACCGGAAAGAGAATCAAGTTCAACGAGAGGATTCGTGAAAGGCAATTTTTACTTGATGAATTCAATATGGAAACTTACCCATTAGTAGAGAGGATCCCTATGATTGCTCCAATTTAAATGAAGAAAAAGATGGAGCTGGTTTACAGAGATTTATCAATCATTTCATAAGACCATCGATCTTTTAGTTGATAGTTATGCGCACACCAAGTGTCGTGCGTGGGTCCACACTTAAGACTTATTTTGACCTTGTTATGAGGGCTTAGGATGTACCGAAGTACGTTCAGTGGATACGAAACAACGGGAAAACCTGCAGTACCATACTAGACTGGTAGGCGGGAGTGTATTGTTCAGTTTGAATTAGCACAGATGAAAACGAAGAAAGCAATCGAGTTAGAAAACGATGGTTTGAATTCAGAATGGAGTAAACAACACTGATGATTGCAGATCGAATACTACTGAATAGATACAAACGAAGTTGTAAATAAGAAACACTAATTTAGGAAAAATACGGAAAACGGTGACTTGAAATCCTACGTGGAAAATTTTTGCAAGTTCGACGAAACAAAATGTTTGTTCGGCTATTCTAGTGTTAGGAATCTTTTTCAATCACTAGGAGCATCTGGAGGATGCTTAACACTTGAGTAGCCAGAAGATCCACCCCAAATTATTATTTATTAATCCTTCACCCAAAAGGGCAGCCATGTAACAGCAAACAAAATCGACGCACAAAAATGGCCGGTTAATGGTTGCTAAGACTGAAAAAGGAAACTGAATCAGTTGGTAGCATTAGGCAATAGCAAAATATGAAGAACCTAGTTTCCTCCTAAGGTTTTTATTGCGAATGTCATTGCATAATGAGGATAATCACCATTTAGAAAATAATTGCGTGGAAACTGGTTTCAAAGTATCTAGTAAGTTATCTCTAGGATCTTTAGACGCACAAGTGAAGCTATCAAATATTGAATAATAACATTTTCTGTATAACACAGAACACATCCATCAAATTAGAAGAACATAGTTGACGAACGGGCGGAAAGATAGGAGTCAGCAAGCATTTGAAACCTCAACACATGTGTTCAAAGCAGAGCTTAATTACAGGGTTTCATTTAATCGCCTGATAAGTCACAAAAAACAACAGGAGCAATAAGTATCAACGGTGAGATCTGTCGGTTTTCGTGAACAAGACGGGCTACAGCTCATCACACCAGGAACAGCGAACGATAAGCGACAGTAAATGAAGATGTGCTAGTTTTTCGTGCGGCCCTCTTACAAAAACAAGGCTATACCGAAACATGGCACTCGATTCGGTCGATTAAATAGTCTTCTTGTGAACACTGTATTCTAGCCTAGGTACACAATCTAAAAAATCTCAGTCATTGATGTTTCCGGATGCTCCGGGGGAGTTAAATCTTTGGTAAAAAAAAATCAAAAATTGTGTAATCTGGAGGAGTTAGCGAAGCGCAAAGAGCCGTAAACCCTGCAAACTATATCCTTAACGCCCTCTGTTGCGGTCTGTACAAGTGTAGTGGTTCACCCGAGGTGCGCAAGTCGATAAAAAGGAATGGTACTGGAAATGACACATTGCAACATATTCCCGTGTTTCGTCATGGATTACGTCTCGACGCGGCCTACTGATCATGTTACGAAGAATCCGGGAAGCGACTCACTCAGTGATCCTCGTGACCGGGACGACTCAAAACACGAGCTGCAAACCTGAACACCTGGTCAAAAGTTTACAATCTTGTTGGAATGTGAGAAAACTTTTGGAAGCAGGCAGGCAGTCCATCGCCATGCGCAAACAGCATGAGTTGAAAATAATCTGTTAAACTACGGTAAACCAACGCATCGAACTATCAGATGCAGACGTATTTTACTGGAAGAAACATAGCAGGTTAATAGGCAACTCCGCGCCCCATGGAGTGGTAACCGCAATCAATAGTCGAGCATATAGCGCTTTGATCTATTGGGATCGACTTACATGGAAACCGCTAACCTCTTCACTGCGCTGGACCCAAATCGACCACATCTCCATCAGTTA